TACGCAACAACAATTTAATATTCGGGTGAAAAGCGAATGTATGAATAAATAATTCCTCCAGATACTATTTTTTTTAACATTGTTACCATTGTGTATTCTACAATAACGACAATGAGGCATAATATCAGTTGACAAGTCCGACATTTCTAGCATATACTTTTCCAGCGTTGATCGTACCTCTGATAAATGAGGATCAAAGAACACAGTAGACCACTCCATGCGATCTTAACTCCACCTGTTGCTGACTACTAACCGTTCGAATTGCTGTATACGATTCTCGCATGGCCACATCATGCATAGCAAAATTCTTAGGTTTAATGCAGTTTCTCAATACTTAATGCGCTTGACCCATTCGGCAGCTTTCGGTTACATCCGGTAAAAAAATTCATCTACATTTGTAACTAGGATTTTCAGGTTTACTGTTCAAACTTTGCAGCATACCTTTTATAACTCTGTAATAACTCATGATAATATAACATAAATTTATTAGTCCTTAACTAACAAAATCTGCCAGTGAATTGGAATGATCAGCGGCGTTCTGTCTCAACTGTCCCAAACCGTTTTAACTAAAGCAGAGCTGAGTTTAAACAACTTAATGTATGAATTCAAATCGATTTTCATCTTCATGCTCACCTATGGGCATGAGTCATGGGCAGTGACTGAAGAACTATAAGTCAGTGACCAAGTAATTGGTTCGCACGTCAGAGTCAAAATATCCGCGTGACCTTGGTGCACAGCCGATGCTTCTTCAGACAGAGAAGATCTATCTGCGATGATTTTAATAGTTTTAGGCATTTTCCCAGAGAAGAAGGTCAAACAGCTATTCTTACCTTATCCCACCGGCCGAAGACCCTGGGGAAAACTAAAAAGTAACCTGGGTCAAGTGCCTCGACGGACTCTGCACGAGACTCAAGATTCAGGTTATTTTCTGCCAGGGGTCAATTACTGGCGCTTCCTCCTAAGCAAGACCTATGAATCCTTAAGAACCAGATCGTCCACCTTCCATCAGACTATGCATTAAAATGCGTTTTAATTCCGATTCTGCTACCTCTGAAGTGATTTTCCTACTCTACTAACTGAGTTACTGTAATGTGCCATTCAAGCCTTGAACTTCACTGATTATTCAACTGGACTAAATTTCATACTTGCTGGTTCAGTGGTATCTGAAAGAATTTCCATATTCCACTGTTTCATTGTCTCCAGGGCCTTTTCCTTTCTCTACATATTATTTTATTACGAGGAAGAGAAAACCACGAAAAATGAGACAACAGCAAATGTTGAATCCGCCTTCTGGTCATCATATTAGTCCGTCAAAACTCCAAAAAGTTTTAATTTACCCAAATCAGTGACCAGCTATCTTTAAACCGGTCGTTTTTATTATAACCGTTATGCACAATTATAAACGGGTCATAGATTTGCTATTTTTGTCGCTCATGGCAGTGAAACACTCGAAAGCAGAAAATACACATGAAATAAATCAGCCATGATCACCGTGATGATCCATGGTTGGTCTCTGTCGAACATGTGGCGTCGTTTCGCGCCCTAATTCCCTCAACTACTGTTTCGGCAATTTGAGCCCGCGCCACTGGCGGCCACCTCCTCATGGTAATCAGACATTTTTATCTTGTCGTCTGGTACTTTAAAAAGCTGCCTTTATCACCGTTGCCGAATGCGTGACCGACCGCACTGACCTCATTATTGCAGTTGACTCTACGTGTGGCCCAAAAACAGCCGCAGCACTTTCCTGCACTCTACTATTTTACCTCGGTTGATCAGGCAACCAGTCAGCCTGTGAAACTGGTTTTGCGAACAGAATAACCACAACGTGTATTTAACGTTCCGATGCTGGTCATTAACGGTAGAAAGTGGGTACAGTTCCAGAAACAAGGTGTAAAAATTTGCTTCAATATGCTGAAGTGGGCACGTCTGATTCGCCTGCTTTGCACTTAGCAGGAATCACAGTTTCTGTGCTGTGACTTGTGAAGGGAAAACAAATAAAAGTATATTTTCAGTCAAATATTTTTTAGAAAAACTTTTTAGAGAATTGAAAAAAAAAACTGTAACACATGGACACGTGAATCTGAGATGGATTTTTCCAAATTGTAGTATTATATCGAACAGATCTCTTATTGGGCACTTGTTTGCTTAGCGCGTTACTGCACTTCTCCGAGACAAAACATAAATCAGTATTTAATTAGACAATTCTGCTGTATAAGCTTTGCTTAGGATAAGACGAATATAATTTTAGCAACGAGGCATATATGGACTGAACCCACACGTCCATTCCTAAGTGATGCGGACAAGCAAAGACGAAAGTAACACCTGATATGTCAAGCCATGACACCACCGAAAATATTTTCTTTATCACGAAGTTTCTGCTTCAGCTGGTTCGCTCATTGTAAATACGATTCTTTCAGTGCACCAATCAGAGCTGACAATATCAGCGCGAATCTAATGATCCATAATTGAGCCCGTATAAAAACAACAAAAAATATCATCCATCGTGTTAAACGATTTTGAAACGAATGTGAACTTAGAACAACGTTATTCCACGAAATTCCTCATGTGTGAAGCAACGGGTGTTGTTTTCCATCCATTTCGTGACATTCCTCATCACGACTGCTCTCAAGACCTTCCATTTGTTTAGTCTATGATTTGTCCTTCTGGTAGGTGGTGGCAAACTGCATGATCTACGGATTGAATCATACATTTCTGGCAGCCATGGACTCCAAGCTATTTATTAATTTCAGATTATGCAGCGCGACATGGAGAGGTGTACATTGGTACTAACAAGAAAATATAGAAAGACAATGAATGAGTAAGAGCACAAGCATGCGTCTGCCATGTTAATGTGCGAGTAAAGAAGTTTCACTACCAGTGGGCAGGTACATTGCAAGAAGAACCGGCTAACGCTGGACAAAGAAGAAAACTATATTCAGAGAGTAAAAAGCCGAGAGGAAGACTTCCAGACCGATGGGAGGATGAACTGAAGAAATTCATTGGATGAGGTGAATAAGAATTATAGAAGTTGATGCCAAAGTCTTAGACAGGTCTTCATCTATTAGTGGATAACATATGCCTGAAGATGATGAAGGACAGAATTTCTGTTCTGCTACACCAATTAATCGCAGGTTTTGGACTCATTCTGACAGGATTTGCTACCGACAGTCAGTTAGATCATTGACGATCCTGTGGTAGCATTACTCTTCATAAAACCAGTAAGAAATCTGCTTTTGCATGGGGGTTAATAATCTTTGTACGATGCAGCTGCTGAAAAGTTACCTTGTCTTGAGAAGGTAGGGTCAACTTATGATTTTCACCTTAATTAACCATTCTTCCTATGTGTACTCATAAACTGTTGAACTCGTCGAAGGTAAAACATGAGGACAAGATGAACTCTTGAAAAAATAGACCCTCACTGCAGTCAGTTCAACCGATTTCCAGACAGCCAATGGAGGCCGCGACTCAGACATCACAAGTGGCGAAACTAATATTATTTGTTTTCCTCTGCTGTTCGACTTCTGCGTTACGGCCCTTAATGTAGTGTTAAACTTTCAAAGTTTGCTCTGAGGCGTTCAACCACATCGCCCAGGTTGAAACGGCATTGAGTTAAGTGTTCAGATCAGAGACGAAGGTAGACTTCATTGCAGTCTAAAATCCGCAGCTTGCGACTATAAGATCTCCTCAGAACTATTTAATTTTTCTGCTTCGCGCTTTATTATGTTTGTTACGCCATACAGTTCGAATGTTTGAATATTATTGCTTAGTTTTTCCTCGAAATCGCTTCAGTGCTTCAACAGCCGCTGCCCAGCGCCAAAACTTTTTCTCAAATGGCAGCTTCTACTGCATGCAAAGCACTTGTGGCCATAAATTCTATCGGCAGGGCAAGTTTATGAAAGAATTAGAGAATCTAATGGCCGTTTACAGATATGTGAAACGTGGTTATTTCATTGCGCCAGT